TGCCTTCACAGTGCAAGACTTTCAGTGCCTAACACCCAGGCACATAATAGCACATGCTGTTAGTGTCAGGAAAATTCTAGGACACTAACTCCTTCTCACCTCCCAGTATTCAGCTGGAGGCCCAGGACACCTCCTCTTTCCCACCTCCCTCAGCAGGTATGATTTGCCCCCTTTCTTGGTCTGTTGGAATTGACTGCTGATTCTCCCATAAGGCTGTGAGCCCTTGACCATGATCACATGTGATCTGTCGTGGCCTGGAAACTGGTCTCCCTGCTTCCACCTTCCCCTGTCCACAGTCTGTTCCTCATGCAGCAGCCTGCCTGACCCTGTTCAGACATGAGTCAGATTGTGTCCCACATCTGCTCGAACCTTCCTTTAGGGTAAAAGTCCTTATGATGGGGATGCCCTTAAAGATCCACATTGCCTCCCTGACCCCATCTCTTGCTCTTCCTCCTCCTCTTGGCTCCACCTGTACCAGTTACATGAGCGTCCTGGTATTCTTCAAACATGACAATCATCCTGCTGCCTCAGGGCCTTTGCACTTGCTGTTCTTGGCAAGACTTCCTCAGGTATATAAATGGCTTACTCTCTCACTGTTTTCAAGTTTTGACTCAAATATCACCTTCTCAGTGAAGCCTCTCAGACCACTGTTTGTAACAAAAAGAGCAGTGAGTGCTAGGATCGCTCATGAACCAGCTGCGGAGCTGGTATCTTGCTCCGGGGTGCCTGGTGAAACAAGGCCAGAATGCAGACATCCAGCTCCCACCCCTTTCCCTCTGGGACAGAAAGCCAGGGAGTTGGAGGACTCGCACCTCTTTCGTAACGGTTACTGCTGCTTGCTTTTTCTGTGCCTGGTACATTGTTGGTTCTTTCCATTTGGTTTTCTCTAATCTACTCAAGAACCTGTGCTGTGAGGGTGGCGGAAGAGACCCAGGTCCGGGAGGCTGAGGGACTGACCACACAGCCAGTAGGGGGCAGAATCCGGACCTAAACCCGGGCCCTTCTCACTCCAGTGTTTAAACCTCTTCCCACTACACTGGCAAACATTTCTTATGCAAGCCTGAAATGAGTCCTTTAGAGCAACACGTTTTGCAAACTGTAAAGTGCTGCACAAATGTAAGGACTTTTGTTGATGACAGTTTTCTTGTCATTTGAGAGGCTTAACCATGGAGGGTAGCTTCTGCCAGTGAAGGTCCTCTGCCTGTGTAATATGCAGATCTGAGGTCTTCAAGAG